AAAAAAAAAAAAAAAAGGACTACACACACCTAAAAAAAACTAATTAGAAGAATAAAACCTCCCCCTAATCCAAGGGGTTGACCTTTATAACCAACCAAACGAAGACTAGTACCATTTTGATATGTAGTCCCAGCATGTAGCATATGTTATCTCATGAAATTTACAAGATCTGCATTAGTTATGATACACAAGGCCTACATAAATTGTCACAAAACTTTCTTTTGCTCTTATCATTAACGTACACCTTTTGTGTTCTTGAGGGGGCTACCACATAGAAATAGTTTCCTCATTTAAAGAATCAGCATATAAACTGTTTTTAGTAGTTTATGCATCAGAACACTGTCATACTCATAATCAGATTAACACTCCAAATTTAACATCTTGAAAGCACTCTTTCAACAATTCGTTCTTCACAAAGAATAAATAAATAAATTGTCACAAAACCCTTTAGATTTCATCTTTCATACAACAAAATAGTCAGATGTTCAAATAACTCGAAACACGTAAAGGCACAAGGGATACCAAAATACTCCAAGCGCATATGCTGAAAGTCCTGCACTGGCTAACCATGTACAGTAGGCTCCGCACTAGAGAATAATGCTTGTCCTTGCATTTAAACAAGTAGCTATAGCGGACGGAAGCTTCAACCAACGATGAGGCATGATGCAAAAACAAACCATCGATCCATCCAGATATTTCTATTGACACTACATGAGGACACTGCACGAGCATAATCCGGCTATTCGTGGCCACACAAAGCATCAACTTCTTCAAGTTTGGGTTTCTGGAATTCAACTGGCGAAAGCCATGACAATCAACCACAGACAGATCCTCAAGAAACGGGCAACCATTCAAGATTCTTTCTATGGAAAATAGGAATAGAGTTACCTCGGCTGTTTTGGAGAGACGTAGTTTTAGCCATTTTTTTGCTCTTTCTTTTTAGGTTTGTGCTTCATCGTATTACTGTGAACGTGTGTTTTCACCTAAAATTGTACTACCTCCTATTTTATATATAGATTCGACGTCGTTTTGAAAAGTTACACATTAATTAATAATATTTTTTTTTTTTTTGTCAATATTAATCTTATTTAATGAAGTTAGAGATGAATATATATACTTATATTAAAGGGAAACCTATTTACTAAATACAATAGGTAGAAAAGTCAAATTTAATTAATGAACTTCTAATTTTATCAAGTAGTAATTAATGCATTTATAATTTAGTAGATTGAAAAAGTCAGCGTAATTAATGCATGTAGATTGAAAAGGTAATATATACTACCTCCTATTTCAAATAGATGTCGTTTTGGGATGTTGCACATCTATTAGAATATTTTTTTTGTCAATAATAACCTTATTTAATGAAGATAGAGATAAATGTTTTGAGAAAAAGATAAAGAGTGATTATGAAAAGACGTGATGTATTTATTAGCTAAATGAGGGTAATAATGGAAAAATATGTACAAAAGATCCAAAACGACATTTATTTAACAAATTGTTGATAAAGCTAGAATGACATTTAAAAAAAATAGGAGGGAGTAATATATTTGTCTTGTATTGTTTTTAAATAAAATGATTAATTTCTTTCAATCTTTATTTTATATCGCACAGGCCTATATGTCCATCATCTACACTATTGTATACACAAAAAATGAGTAATATTAATATCTTTCATAATAGTAATATCAGAGTATCGGACCGCGGACTACTAAAATATCGAATTTGAACAAACTAAAATTATTAGGCCATAACATTTTAATTTTTATTTTTTCAAACGGCTAGCTCATAATAGAACTATGAATCAGTGATCTACATATGAATCTCAAATAGATCATAAATATAAATTATTGTAGAACAAGCAATAAATATTCATAAAGTAATAATAATAATAATAATAAACCCTCTGTATTGTATTTGAGACTCCCAAGAGTTGAACAATTATGGCGACCTAAACATTTTTTAATAGGCATTGAGTTAAAATAAAAAATTAAAATCGAGAAGTGCAATTTCTAATAATATTATACTTAATGTTGATAAATTACATAGTAAAAATTTGCATAACTTTAATGATATCTTAATTTTCACCTACATAACTTTAAAATCAACAACCCTTATACTTCTTCAATAAATTACATTACTTTCATGTAAAAATTAAATACTTTACAAACAATGTAAAGTAAAACAAAGACATATTATAAAATAAAGATTGAAAGAAATTAACCATCTTTATTTGTCTTATATCGCACAGGCCTATATGTCTATCATCTATACTTATATAATAAGGTATCATATATTCCTATTTACCAAATGTAGTAGGTTGAAAAGTCAACATAATTAATGCATTACTATTTCTATCCAGAATTTTATTTATTTATCTTATATCCCATAAAATTGGTTTAAGAAAAAAAAAAATCTCATAACATCCGACAAGTAAAAAAAATGACGTAAAATCTTTACTAAAATAAATAATACTTTATTTATTTGTCTTATTCCATATTAACATCGTTTTGTCAAATCAAATCCCATAAAATCAGTGAAGTCAAAATTTGTACATAAAGTCTATCTATAATAAAAGAAGGCAGATTCAAAATTCTTTATCTAATTCCTTCTTTTTCTTATCTAATTCCTTATTTTCCTTATCTAATTCCTTCTTATTATCTAATTGTATGGAAATTTGTTCTGATTTTGTTCAATCCTCTAATTGTATTTGTATTATATCCCATAAAATTGGTTTAACAAAAAAAGCTCATAACATCCGATAAGTAAGAAAAAAAAGTACATAAAATCTTTACTAAAATAAAAAAGGCTTTATTTATTATTTAATTGTATGGAAATCTGTTCTGATTTTATGGTACGTACTACAAATTGTAAACCCGTGTTCAGGAGCTACTTAACGGGCAAGCTTTGTGGAAATGACTCATTAGTGCTTATGTCATGTGCATAAGGTATGTATTTGTATTACACATACTAGAAAATTGTGCACCCCGTGCATCGCATGGGCTTTGTACTAATAACTGATCTTAAAATTGTGCACCACGGGCATCACCCGTGTTCACATTTTGGCCTATTACAGTTCACGTACTATATATATCCCGTACATTTTTATATTTATTTATATAATTATAAGACTGGATAAATGACCTTAAAATTGTGCACCCCGTGCATCGCACGGGCTCTGTACTAGTTTTGAGAAAAAGTGAATAGTGAATATGAAAAGACGTAATGTATTTATTAGCTAAATTAGAGTAATAATAGAAAAATATGTACAAAAGGTCCAAACGACATTTATTTAGCTAATAGTTGATAAAGCCCAAATGACATTTAAAAAAAATAGGAGGGAGTACCATTTTCACTGTCTGTCGGCCCTTTAAATTTAAAAAGAAAATGCGTTTTTAAACCAACTTTTTATTAGTATTTCATGAATGACTATTGTCCCAATAGTCATCGCCTGTGTAAGAATTGGGGTAGAAACAAGTGTGGTCCCACATATCAAGTGCACTATACAAGACAAAGTTCAGATGAAGTCCCAGTAGGGTTTCACCGTTTAAGTAAGAATCGGGGGTAGAAACAAGTGCATCTCACAGATCAAGCGCACTATACAAGAAAAAGTTCAGATGAAGCCCCAAGTGTGGTTCCATCTCAAAACCAATTAGTGAAAGTAGGAGTAACCCACTAGTCTTATAAGTTTGTTCTATTTTTCTTGTGTATTGGATGTAAGACAACTCACAAGTAGTATTATACCCGACATGACTGGGAAACGAGTACGTCATCGCACGGTCTTACATAGAACCGACTCTGACACAATGTAAGAATCGAGAGTAAATCAAGGTGCGGTTCCACGCAGATGAAATGCACAATACAAGGAAAACTCAAATTAAGTCCAAGTTGAGTTCCATCCCAAAATCAAATAGTGAA